TCACCTCGTTCGTGATGCTGTTGGCGCATGAAGCACAGCTCATACCACCAATGCTCACACGAGCGTTGAACCTTTCCTTATCTTCCGAATCGTGAAGCGTCTCGGGCGGCTCCACGGGTGTAACTTCTTCGGCTGACCCCCGGGCTACTAGACTCTGTACCTCTGACTGGGTTGGACCAGGCTTTCCACCCGTACGAAGACCACTATAGCGGTCGCGAGGGCGGCGAGCAGCATCTGCCAAGTCCTCGCCGGCCGCGAGGCTATCCAGCTCTTCTTTCCTGCAAGCGTCACAGTTGTCAACATGTCGGCTTCCCAGAGCTGGATCTCGGTGGATGTTAGGCTGGGTAGTGAACAACACTGAGTCGCGGGGTAGCCATGAAGTTGTATCAAGTTCCGAGATAACTGATCCTCTGGGTTCATATGTAGTGACATGGTGAACCTCGAAGGCAGCTTCAACCAAAGCCGAAGCAAGGCGTGACGGGTCTGTTTCGGCGCTGTGAACGACGCGTACTTCGTGGGTGAGAACCGACACATCGATATCCCTCACCCCATCAATGTCCGATAGAACTTCATTGATGTATGCGACGCAAGAGGAGCAATGAATGTTGCTGACAAAGAATATACTTCTGAGAAGTCTCGAGTCCTGTCCAGCAGGAACTCGAGAGTTGGTGTCTGCTGCCGACGGCGACATTGTCGAGGGAGGAGGGGGAAAAGAAAGGAAGAGATAAGGAAAGGGCAGGAAAGACAGACTCAATCACTGCTTTAAAGCCCTGCCTGGCAGTAAGAGAGCTTGGCAGGGAGAGAAAGTTGTTTGATAGAGAGAAACAGAGAAGGCGTCGACGGCGGGTCTTGTCGGTTGATGTCAAGGGACGCCAGAGCTCTAACCGGGATTTGACACCCCACGAAGACGAGACAGTTAATGCAACACGCCTCGCTGGCGTATTAGCGCAGGGGAATGCCTATCGAGCAATGAGAGCGACGAGTGGACAGAGTTGCGAGGTAAGATGTTGCTTTTCCTGTCTGAGATTGAGTATTGCCTACTGACAGCGGCGCCTATGGTTGCAGATCGCAATTGCTCAGTCAACAAGTAAGAAACGAGGAAGGGCGAACTCTCTACAAATAGGCCAAAAGAGAAGGAGGGAGAGAGTGGAAGAAATATATATCATCATTAACATCATGTTTCTGGGTTCTTCGATCAGGGAAGGGAGGGGGGAGGAGGGAGGCAAAGCTGCGCGTTTTGTGCGTCAAAAGAAGATGTGAGGATGTTATGGGGCCGCGCACAAATGGCGCATTCCACTCCAGTCATTTACCCACTTCACCCTCCACGGAGAAGAAATGCTACTGTGTGTAGGTGATGTAAGTCATCCATATGTACCAAATGCCCCTGGATGAACGATTCTTATCAAACTTCCCCATAATGGGCGCATGTGATTGAAGAGATCCATTCGAATTCTCCGCTGGTAAACCGGCATTATCTCCCGATACCACAAGTATCCCTGTGGAGGAGAGTTTAGACAAAGGTGGGAATTACATATGTGGCGAAATTTTTTAAAGCTCCGGCATTTGATTGATCAGGATTGGCTCACTAAGCAGTTAGCGGATCTTTTTGGTGGTTTCGGTCCCAGTTTAAGCTCCCAGGGGGAGGAAAAATAAAAAAAAGATGGGATGAAAGTTGAAGATGCGATCGTCCAGATTAGATCCGGCTGATCGAGGAGGCTGCTTTAGACGCCCATTTCTTGGCCTAAAGAGATAGAAACAGCTGTTTAAACGTATTAAAATAGAGCTGTGCACGTTACCTTCGCTATAGAATGCTGTAGTTCTCAATAGCTGAGGGTAGGCGAACTGGCAGATACTAGTACACTAGCTAGCTGCAAACAGCCTAACATGGCCTAATGAAACGGTACCACCGGACTTATACCAGGATACCTTTTCTATGACAGATAAGATAGACTGGAAATTTTCCCCAAATTGAGAAGTCGAAATGAAATAATTCCACAACTCAAAAGGGGTACTGAAGCAGCTGCAGCTCAGCCAGCCTGCAACGGGGATTGCAGCATTTTCCGGAAAATGCCTCCTCGGGGATTCGAACGAGAGACAGTGAGGAATGAGGCAGAAACGAACTTCGGCCTTCAAGACGCAGCGTGACACGTGACTCTTCCATTGGACCACCGCGACAGGCGCGTCATAATTTTCACGTCGGTGATGCGTCGCGCCCACCTGAATCACCTCCATTTCATTCTTCCCTCTTTCATCAACTACTTTTACTTATACTCCCCAGCTGCGGTTGATTTCTATAGCCAGTTTTTCTTCACTATTTCTAGTTGGTCCAGTGAATACGGGGTTTTGGTTATCTTTCACCCGTATAACACTCCTACCAGCCCCCCCCTGATAACATCTTGAAACCCCGCCGGAGTGTTCTTTGTGCGGTTTGTTCGCTCTTATAGCCCCTCCGTCTGGCTCGTCGCTGCACCTTCAGCTCGACGATTGGATCACGCTACGTCCAGGATCATTGTGTGGACTATTTAGGCATGATAGACCCTGTGTGATCGATTGTCTATTCTCCTTCATCTTATTGGACCAACCTACTACCACCGCTCGTGGACATCATCGACCCCCAACAGAGCCATCCCGTCGCATTTACAATGTCCGTCCCTAGGCCTGGGATGCGTGCTCCCATTCCCCCACGCGGCGGCCCAAGGCCACCTATGGGAAGACTAGCCAGTCTGAAATCGCCCAATCCAACTCCAATCAGGCGTCCCCAGCCAATTTCTCGGCCTCAGCCTGCCAGGCCAACTACCCACCCCAAAACCTCAACTTGCCCTAACCCGGGCTGTCCTGCCCCTCACATCGTTGAGGATGACGGTCAGAAGGTTTGTTCCGGGTGTGGTACTGTCATCAGTGAAGCAAACATCGTCTCCGAGGTTACTTTCGGGGAATCGTCGTCAGGTGCAGCAGTCGTTCAGGGTACCTTTGTCGGCGAAGATCAATCCCATGTCCGCAGTTATGGCCCTGGCTTTCAGCGTGGAGGCGCCGAAAGCCGCGAGATTACGGAACAAAACGGTAACCGCTACATCACTCAGCTATCTCGTGCCTTGACTATCCCAGAGAGTGCCATGAAGGCTGCTGGTCAGGTGTTCAAGCTGGCAGTCGGGTTGAACTTCATTCAAGGTCGAAGAACCAAGACTGTAGCTGCTGTATGCCTATATATTGCATGTCGTCGGCAGGATGGCAACACCATCATGCTCATCGATTTTGCCGATGTCCTAATGATCAACGTCTTCAAACTAGGCCGGACCTACAAAGCTCTGCTTGACGAGTTGCGTCTGGGTGGTAACGTGTTTCTGATGAACCCGATTGACCCGGAGAGTTTGATCTACAGATTTGCCAAACAGCTTGAATTTGGGTCGGCTACCATGCAGGTGGCGAGCGAGGCGGTCCGTATCGTACAGCGGATGAACCGCGATTGGATGACGACGGGTCGTCGTCCCGCTGGTATTTGTGGTGCCGCCTTGATTCTTGCAGCCCGCATGAACAACTTTCGTCGCACTGTTCGAGAGGTTGTCTACGTCGTCAAGGTCACCGAGATCACTATTAGCCAGCGTTTGAACGAGTTCAGCTCCACCGAAAGTGGTGAACTTACAGTCGACCAGTTTCGTTCCGTGCAGCTGGAAAACGCGCATGACCCACCTTCTTTTGCCAGGGCTAGAGAAGGACGAAAGCCATCACGCTCTTTCAAGAGACGGCCCACGGAAACGGCTGCCGACATGGAGAGTGATATACAGGAAGCACAACAACACAGGCGTGTCGACTCAGACGGATTCGCTATTCCTAGTCTTCCCATTGATCCGGCATTATTAGCGGCCAGCAGCGGTCAACGTCGCCAATCGACTGCCTCTGCTGCAAGCGAAACCATTTCGGATGCTGGCGAGGAGCACGCCAAGTCTGCTCGCCAGAAGGGTCCGAAGAGACCCCCTCTTCCAGCACCTTCGCCAGATCAAATTGCATCGGAGGAGGCCTTGGAGAATGAAATGACCGCGCTGTTGTCCAAAGGATCGAACATGTTTGACACTAGTGCCGGTCCTCCGAGGAAGGTCGTCTCTGACAATACAGAGATCGACGCTGCGGAGTTTGAATCGGATCCGGAGGTGTCTAACTGTTTGCTTTCTCCTGCGGAAGTTGAGATTAAAGAACGGATCTGGGTCCATGAGAACAAAGATTATCTTAGGACCCAGCAAGCTAAAGCGCTCAAGCGAGCTCTGGCCGAGGCCGATTCCCACCCTGGCGCGGACGGTCGCGTGCACAAACCGCGGAAACGCCGCCGTGGTAGACTGGGCGACGTTACTTATCTTGAAGGCGAAGGCGAAGACGCCGACGGCCGCAGCACTCGGGCTTCCACCCCTGCCGAAGCTACCCGTCGGATGTTGGAGAGAAGAGGGTTCAGTAAAAAGATCAACTACCGTCTTTTGGAGTCACTATTTGGCGATGAAGGGGCCGACGAGGCCTCCAAACCTAAGGAAGAGAGTTTGAGCCGAAGCCAGAGTCGCAGCCAAAGTGTTGTGTCACGCCGCAGCGCCAGTATCGAGCCAGAGGCGGCCTCGAGGCGTACCCGGCTTGCAACCCCCTCAAGTGGCCAACCTGCTGGAGCTTATTCGTCTACCGCGGGTCCGGCGCGTGGCTCAGCGGCCCCTGCTGCTCAGGCCCTGACGGATCAAGGTGGGAAAGCGAGTCAGAATGAGCAAGTCCTCGGTCCCGCAGATGGAGCAAAGAATGAGTACTCGGATGACGAACAAGAGGATGACTACGACGACGAGGATGACATGGAGGATGACGGAGTTGACGCGGCGCTTGCTGGAACCTATGGTGACTATTATGACGAGGGGAGTGATTATGGCAGTGATTAAAGTTGCGATGATAGCAGGGTTGTACTTCACCGCAAGGCATGTACATAGAGTCCGGCGCCAAGTCGGCGGGGAATTTGATACCCAGTCATTCCAGGCTTAAATGTTGAAAAGCAAGTGATGGGCATATGATCTAACTCGCTTGGTTCCTTCCTTGTTGCTTGTCTTGCCATTTTGAGGCCGATATCACGTGTAGCAGGCATCGAAACGAGACGAAACGCGTAGTCTGCAACTTCATCTCCCCACCTTATCCCAGGTTCATACACTCCACCAACTGCATCATCTATGCCATCAAACCTTGTATCTCTTCCCCTCTTTTCGGTCTCGAACATTAATACCCCATTGGTGGGTGTGTGGCAATTCACCACTTGGAGACAAAGCCTAGCAGAACCCTATTCTCAGGAGGCTCCATCGATACCATCGACTATGGCCCTGTTAGCAACCCAGAATGTCAGTAAATTTAGAACTATTAATAGGTTTTTGAGCTGCCTAGATTGTGACTTTCACGATCCCGGCAGAATTAAGGCAAGGGGCTCCCCCTTCTGGGAGTTTGATGGTGCGAGTTTGTGCATACAGTTCAACTGCCTGCTGTTGGAGGGGGTCATTTCGATATACGACAGCTGAAGCACATCGATCTACACTTGAACTCCTGTAAATGCTTCTATGTGCTGACGCTGCATATGAGTCATGGTGTGTGGTGGTGATATATCTATCCTGGAAATGATATTCGAAGTCTCCTAGCCTTGTGCCAGTCGGAAGTCGATCCTCCGCAGACCCTGAGGAATGTACAAGGTGGGCAGGTCGTATCGTTGAATGCTAGCAACCCGTCGTCTGACTCGCTGGTTCTTGTTGCAGGTCCGGTTCTCCATCCTATTGCGGCATTTACCGGTCCTTGGTATGGAGGATCCTGCGTCGATCTACAATGGGTTACTGGGGCTTCAGATATCCGATTGGGATACTACCTCATCATGAGGAGAACTATTCAGACTATTGCGCTTCCTGCGCACCAAATTTGTGTGCCACGGGTCCACAGAAGTCTTGACCCCCTTGGTTTTCGCGGTTAATGACGAAGATGGGTTCCCACTAAGTACATATATAAATATCGTACTTCCAGTATCATTTAGCTTGAGGTTCGATTTCAGTCGCTGACCTTCCTCGCTCTGTTCCCACGGTTGCGATTATGGTCAGAATCAATATGTACGGACGGGGGCTCAGCCTTCGGCTGGCCATCATGTTCACCTGCCAAGCAGCATTCGCCTTATTCGGTGAGATACCTGATGAACGCGCCTAGGGTGCAGTATATGTTGACCCTCAGTTTTGCATGAATAGGCTACAACCAGGCAGTATTCTCTGGGATTATCAACAACGCTGATTTTCTTTCCATCGTCCACCATCCCACTACGGCTGTAATGGGAATCATAGTGTCTATATACAATCTAGGCTGTCTCCTTGGCACAGCGGTGGCCTTCTTGACAAGTGACAATTTAGGTTTTCGAAAGTCCGTGTGGCTTGCGATGTGTATAATTATAGTATGTGTCTCCCCAGACTCAGTTTTCACATGCAGATGCTAATGGCGCTTTACAGATTGGGGCAACGGTCCAGACCAGCTCCTACTCCAAAGCGCAGTTGCTCGTGTCCCGGCTCTTCACTGGGATTGGAATTGGCATCATGACAACGACCGTGCCGGTGTACCAAGCGGAATTATGTGAAGCACGCAAACGAGGAATGTATGTCTGCACTCAACCTCTCGCTGTCGGTGTAGGTATTACCATCGCGTACTGGTACGACTATGGTATGAGCTATGTGGATGGACCTATCAATTGGAGGCTGCCCATCGCCAGTCAAGTGATCATCGCAATTCTCGTTATCATATTGATCTTAGGGTAAGTTAGACTGCCACGCGTTGTCCGAGCTGAGCATGTCATCTCACTTATGTTGGACAGACTTCCGGAGAATCCTCGGTGGTTGTGCCGTCAGCATAGGAGGCAGGAGGCCTTGCAGGTTTTGAGCGAATTTTATGATCTACCACTAGATCATCCAACAGTGACCCAGGAGGCTGAAAATATCTTCAGGGCCATAGATGATGGTCGTCCAGAGTATAAGTGGTCAGAGATCTTCAAGAAAGATGAGCTTCATACGGGTCGACGAATCTTGCTGGCGTATGGGCTACAGTTTACGAACCAGATGGGAGGGGCTCCCTTGATTGTCGTAAGTGAACCTCAAGCACACTGCATTTCAAAGCTCACTCCATGCTCCAGACCTATGTCACTACAGGTAAAACCTACGGTCATTCCTCCCTGTGATGTCCGATCAATGGCTGACGACATGCCTACTCCTAGTCCTTGAAGATAACGTGGGCCTCGACGCCAAGTTGAGTTTATTGCTCAGTGGAGTGATCCAATTGATGTTTGTCATAGGTGCTGAGGAATTCCGGCCCATCCCCACCGCAGCAACAGAGCGCTGATCGTGTTACCGTAGGTGCTTTTTATCCCATCTTTTACTCCGATCGATTGGGACGGCGGAGCCCAATGATGTGGGGATCATTTGGCCTCTTCGTATGCCTACTCATGATCTCCATTCTTCTGTCCTTCAAAGGTAAGCCCGGCGTATGGCTCGGAGTACAGAGTTAGGAAATTGATCTAACACCCGGCACCGGCAGGGACGAACCTGGAAAAGTCGACCGCTACGGCCTCCGTGGCTTTCTTCTTTCTGTATATGCTCATCTATGGGGCCACGATTAATTGCATACCATGGGTATACGGGCCAGAGCTACTGCCCCAACATGTCCGGACAAAAGGGTAGGCCAGGACTACTCACCCCATTCCAACCGGTGGCGGGCCACTTTGTCTGGAGTAGGGCTAACTCTCAGCACCGCAAATAGGCAAGCCATCGGAATTTCGGCTAACTGGCTCTGGAGCTTTTTTGTGAACATGATATCTCCGACACTGATCCGAGACCTGGCATGGAAAGGGTATCTCATCTTCGTCGCCTTTAACCTCGCCTTTATACCGGTAAGTTCGGGACATACATTCCGATCCCCCCCATAGCGCCACCAGCCTGCTGATGAATGTTTGCCAACGTCTCAGATCGTGTACTTCTACTATCCCGAAACAGCTAACTTGAGTCTCGAGGACATTGATTCCCTGTTCGGAGTGCAGAAGGCACAGCCTATTCGGGAGGATGACAAAGGGTTTACCTGGGTGGAAACCAGACCCGTGAGCTAAGTTGGGCCGGGAATGCAAACGAGACTGATAAGGACGGCAACTATGTCGTATATTAGTTCAATCCTTGTCTCTTATGAAACCAAGGATTCACATCAATAGGATGGGCCATGTAGTGGTTGATGGCGCGAGATGAAGGGCAGGAGAGGCTGGTGGGCAGTTTGGAGGTGGTGTTTCTGGGAGGAGATTCATGAACCCTATTATGGCTAAGTCTGTATCTGGCAAAAGCTGGCGATCTTGACCGCCACTTGCTACTTCCCCTCCAACATATTCACACCTCTCTCCCTACAGCTAAAACATAGAAAAGTATTATCTTGATGATTTTTTTCTTTCATTCATTGTTTCTTTCCAGATCTTGACGATATGTGAAAATGGCAAATATATATCAACAAACAGAGAACCAAAAGGAGAAAAATTGAAATGAAACCAAAAAAGCAGCAACAGATCCAACCCCATGTGACCTAACCGGCCACATGACCCTACCCATTCCCAGCCATCCCACCACCAACCCTTTGCGCCAGAGAAAGAATAAGATCAAATCCAAAGAAAGAAAAGGAAAGAAAAGTTCCACAAACATATGTCAAATCCGAATTTTAATTACGATGGCGAAGCGAAGATGACAGACACACCACCATCAGGAGAAGAGGAAAAGCGGAAATCAGAAATTTTGCTGCCGAACTGGTGGGGGTAAGAGCGGTTTCGGTCGAAGTTGAAAGTCGCTTCCGCTGTATGTCCGTCGAGTTCGTTGGTCGATCGGGTTTTTTTGTTCAAGGCGTGAGGTGTTATGCGTCGAGAGGTGCCTTTTCTGCTGCTGATAAGACTGCTGCCAATGGCTTACGCGTCGATCTCCATCCTCGTCCCCATTCCTACGCTGTTGTTCAACCCCATGCCGTTGCCGTGGTTCACGGGCTGGGCACAGAGAGTCTGGAGGAGTGGAAGACCTGAATCTACCTGGTTCGCGCCCAGCAGGTTCTGAGCTGCCATCGAGACCATGCCGTTATTGAGCGGCCTGTCTGCGGCATTCAGAATCTGTGTGCCTTCGAAAACGATGGGAGACGAGCGAAGGTTCATGAGGCAGGCTTCCCATGTGGAACCCACGAGCTGTCCTTGGGTGAGGTCATCGTTGAAAAGATAAAAGGCCGGTGTAGGGGAAACCCCCATTGGTGTCATTGGTCGTGCGGTGACAAGATAGGCATTCAGCGCCCGGTTCTTCAAGAGGATCTGTGAATCGGCCAGGTACGTCGCGAACTGCCGATCAATGTACTTCTTCCAGCCGCGCACGGCAGCCGCCATATCGGCGTCATCGGTCGCAATCCGCTGCCAGCTGATCCCGAGGAGACGCGTAGCGTCGTCGACAGTGGGTTCTTCGGAGCGGTTACCCGCGTTGAGGATTCGGCGATTGTCGTCTTGCTGGTCGGTGTTTATTTTGCGCTGAATGGAGGAGAGGGTGATATCGTCAAAATTGGAAGCAGCGGGATCTAGACGCTGAGCTTTACGGCTAGCAGATGGACTGCCGGAACGACGCGACGAGACCGGGGCAGCGGTGGTGACATTCTCGACAGTCTCTTCGTACCACGTGCCAGTCTGGCTTTCTGCTGAGATGGCCATCTTGGTGCGAGGGTTGAGGAGAACCATGCCTTCGCCATAGATGGGCTCTTCGACCTCTTGCTTTCTAGGTTGCGGAGCAGAAGCAGCCACGATGGACATGGGAGTGCTGCTTCCGTTCATGGCTTCTTCGAAGGAGTCTTCGTCACGCGACCTCTTGCGGGAGGGTCTGGATGGTTGGAAGGGGTTGTTGTTATTGGAGAAGAAGGACCGCGACTCTGTGTCGTGGGTGAACTTGGGCTGGCGAGGGAATTGAACAAAAGCGTGGTCCTGGGGAGGGGATAGGACCATCGCCGGGCCATCAGAGAGACCGTTCAGCAGCATTGGGCACATGGTGATGAATGCGAAGGCGTGGTCGAATGCAGCGACTACGAGATTGAAGCGAAAGGGAGCCTGTTCTGTCTGTCCAGTGAGCTAGAAATGAAGAACGAGAGCAACCTATGGATCTTGCGATCCAAGCTGTGTATATAAGCTATGGTGTGGCACCCAAAGGAGAGGACGAGAGGTGATGCGCTGAAGGGTGGAGAGAGGCAGGCAGGCAGGTGACAATGGAAGGGTACGAGATGGGAGATATGGAATATAAGGCTGAAGGGTATCAAGAGGTAAGGATATGAGCAAGATGAGATGGGAGGATTGACCCAAGATACAGTGAGAACGACGTGCAGGAGAGGGAGGAAGGGAAGAAAAGAAGAGAGAGAGAGAGATGGATGGAAGGAGGATAAACGGAGGAAGGAGAAGATGCGCAGCCGAAACGAAGAAGCGAACCACGGGATCACCGGCTAAGATGTGGAGGAGAAGAAGCGGAGGGAAGGAAAGCGAGAAGGGAGAAAAGTGTGGGAGGAAAGCGAGAAACCAAACGAAACACGCGAAAGAAGCAGAAAAGGAAGGGAGAAGAAGAAGAAGAAGCAGCAGAAGCTGACGGATGCGGACGAGAGAGCGAGAAGTCACTCAGTGTGATCGGAGCTTCTTTGGATGCGCCTTGCGATCCTCCATTCATCATTGCGGAGAGCAGGATTTGCCATTGGCCAGACCCGTGTATTTACCGTGCCATACGCTTGTGACGCCTGCCATTTCCGCGGGAGGTCTGAGAGTTTCGCAGGGATTGTGCACCCCTTGGCGTGGACTGCATACCATACCGTACAGTAACAGGTGACGGGATCCACCGGGCTCAGATCAACCCGCAAGGATGCGCTCATTATTGGTCGAGGGGGAATCGTCCCGGGCAACGATGGGGTGGGTTCCACTCGCTAAAACTCATTCTCATTGGCTCAATTGGCACGCCTCGTCCGCGCGGCCGCCCTCACTGGATGCAAGGCCATTGGCCGAACCACTCAGCTCAAGCCCGAGGCTTTCGATGCGCCGTGATTGGCTCAACCCTAAAGGCCCGCACTGACTGCTGACTGACCAGGGGGTTGCCAGCCAAGGAACTTTAGTAGTAAGTTAGCCAGAACTTGGCCCAGCTAGCCCCTACCATGTAGTGCCTCAGGCATCAATCTGAAGCTAACACTGAAACTTGACGAAATTCTATTCGGTTGATGAGAAGGTTCCCCTCGTAAAGTAGTCAAAAAGAAAAATCCTATAGTAACAGGAGAATGGGATGACGAGCAAAAAAGGTCGCGAAAATGATATCCGACACCTGAACTTCCTGCTAGTTTCACACGTCACAAATGGTCATGGAGCCAAATCGCGAGCAATACACCGACAAAAAATCCTTCTAATAAAATAAATGGTAAAAGGAAGAAGAAAAAACAGGGTCGCGAAACGAAGAATTGTGAAAGCCCCGTCGGATTCGAAATCCATGTCGTATCAACCGTGTCTTCTGGGCCCGGCTGCATTCCCCGCATGTGGCCGGCCCAGATGCACCCCGCATCCCAATTCGTAGAGAACTACCCCGGCAGATGAAATATTATCCTTTATAACAGTAGAGCACCATACGTATCCAAGTATGGCGGAAGAAAAGCGAACGTGACACGCGGGTAGAACTTTTGCCCCCCGGGACCTTCTCCAGTCCCCATTCCCCATCAACATAAGCTACCACTCCTGGCTCACCTCAGACGGCGCCTGAGTATTAAGGCAGGCGCATGGCTGAATCCACCTGGACTTCTAATCGGTCCTTTAAGCATTTCCAGCAGTAGCACCACCGAGCATACCCTTGACGCTGGCAACTTGCTCGGGGGCGTAGCTGGGGGCCATGGAGCCCATGAGCAGGAAGAAGATGAGGAGGATAGCACCGAACACAATGAACTTGCGCTGAGCGGGGTGGTTAACTCCATACTCAGCCCAAGCACGGTTGGCCTGGCCAGTGTACTCCTTGATCTTGTCACCGCCAAGCTTGTAGTAAACGAGACCAACGAGAGCAATCGAGTAACCGAAGAACTGGGTGAGGGTGACGGGGGTCTGCCAGATCATCATGGAAGCAGCGACCAGAAGGATATCCTTGAGAACACCGCACAAGGTCATGACGAGGGAGGAGGTCTTGCCAATCTGTGTGAATGCGTCAGTAAATTGATCCCCATGTAGCAACGCGGCGAAAAAGGGTTTCTTACCAGGAAGACAACGGAAACGTTGAGGAGGAAAGCAACAACGGCATTGGCCAGCAATGTCCAGACACCAACGTTGTAGATGTGGCCCATGGTAAGGTTGGGGACCTCAAGGAAGAGAGCAGTGACACCGTTCATGACAGCACAGACAGGAGCGAAGTAGTAGAGGGAGACAAGAGGGTCCATCTTGTACTCGGCAGAGCTGAGCAAGCGCTGAACCATGACCAGACGAGTGGCCTCGAAGACAATACCACCGAGCTGGAAAAGGAATCCAATGAAGACAAAGCGGATCTCACCGAAAGAGGCAATGATGACACCAAGCACGATAACGCTGACGTTCATCAGGACCTTGAGGTTGACAGGAGCCATGCCCATACCCCAAGTAGCGAAAAGAACAGCAACGGGGGTAGTAGCCTGAAGGGGAAGTCAGCAAGGGAAAGTCTTGCTCGACATGGAACGACTGACCTTGAGCATCTGGATGAAGGCAACACTCAGATACAAATAAGTCACATTACCGCAGATCAAACTCAGACTGAAGAAAAGACCGATCGGAACAATAGCACGAAGGTAGACACGGCCAGTCATCTTCACGGTCTTCCGTCCATCGAGCAGAGTGGTGGTGCGCGCCAGAAGCTGGGTCATGAAGGTCGCGAATGCCAAATGCCATGTTGTGAGGATGATAGCTAGATGTCGTTAGTTGGACTGCTGGACGATATCAAGATAAGTTACGAGCAACGTACGAAAACCTAGGTGCAGAGAGAACAATTAGCGATTTGGTCATCAGAATCGGAGCCACCGAGTGTAGAACTTACGGAACTGGGCATAATCAAGGATATGCTTGTTGAACAAGATAACACTGGAACTCAAAGTGATCCAGACCCTGATTTTATCTTAGTACTCTTTCCATTCGAGTCCTTCAATCTTGGGTGTAGCTTACCCGACATAGACAGCAGGGTGGAAGGCAGGCTTCGGGGGCTCTGCCTTATCAACAGCGGGATTGACGGTGGGCAGGGTAGGTTCCGGACGAGAGACCTCTCCGGAGGTTCTGGCTTTTTCGCCCTCAGACATTGTGAAGGTGCGAGTCTGGTCGGATAAGAAACGTTGAAATTCAAAAGGTCGCGGCCGTAAAAGGCTGCTTTGTCCGAACTTGGCGGAGGCCACGGGTAACGGTTGTCAAGAAAGGACGTAAAGAGAAAAAGGAATGGTTGGCAGAGAAAGGTGGATAAAAGTCGAGAAGCCTAAAAAGTCTGGAAACGAGTGAGACTAGAGTTGGACAAGAAAAGGATAGTAAGAGAGTGAATGAGAATAGAACGGATGTGAAGAAGAATGGTCGGGGTTGGAGGAGAGAAGAGGGAAGAGGAAGAGGAGAGGACGAAGGGGGCTGTTTGATTGATTTGGGGGGGGGTCCGTTGAGGTAATTTTCAACTCTCGGGTAAGCAAACAGGGTACCAAGAAGAGAGGTACTTACGGCTGGATTTCCTGTGGGATGGCAGCGGGAATGAAGAGACGGCTCGGGAAGCGCAAGTAAAATTATTTAGGGGGTGCCGAAGAGGAGAGAGTCAGGGAATTGTGAGGCAGGGAAGAGAAGAGACGGAGAGTGTAAGAGCGACGGAGAGAGAAAGACAAGAGAGAGGGCTGGGTCCGCATCAACACCGAGAGGGCAGATCGTGGCTCAGGACACGATATGTCGTTCGTTGGTCGTCTTTTTCACAATTTACAACTAGCCAGCAGTAGTGGTAGTACTGCGCTGACCGTCAACTTACATACTGGACTAGGAGTTAGTTTCCCTCTGGACCCGGACCTGAATCCCCAAACTTTAGCGGCTAGGATGCATTCTACTACATCTTCCTAACCTGTGGTGGGGGGTGGGAGGAATGAACCGGAACCAGAGTCAGTGTGATAATGCTAGCATTTAGTTTAGTTAGTTAATTGAAAGGTACGGTGGAAGTAGACTACTAGATAAGAACCAATTTTAACCTTGCCGATTTAATACTTGATGTCTCTCTGCATCCATCTATCTATCTGCCTTGCCTGGTCTCACATTGAGCACTTACATTAACAGTTGATAGTATTATACCCTTTGGACTGGTTTATTGTGCATATATTCCCAAGATTTGCTGGAGAATTATAATTAGATACCATTCGTATGCTACCCCATGGACGCCGAAGCAGGTGAAACACCACCAGTGGTTCTGACGGGCGGTTTCGAGTTCTAGGCTGGGAAGAACAAGCCCATCGCGGTGGAGGCCAAAAGTGGAGTGACGAGGGGCGAAAAATTAGCGGGCTGGAGACCCGGCAAATACACTGTATTGCAGCAAATCGTCCTCGCAATAGCCACATTTTGAATTCAGTACCGTAATGGCTTGGTTATTACGGAATTATTCTCCCCAACTACCGCTGCTTGCACAACCAAGCCCCCGAGTACGGAAATGGTATGAACAACTTGTAACAAAACATTATGCCAGTTCCAGACCTCTTTCGGTTCGTCCAAAAGATTCAGTCCATCTACATTCTGCAAACGTCGTCAACTATCTACTATCGACTTCTATTTTATACTTCCTGTCCGTTCTCATCATCATTGACTTGCGAGTCTTCTGCATCATGCTGCCGGTGTTTGCCCAACCCTCACCGCGATTCTCAATGCGTATTCGATATATTGTTGTCTAATTGCAATCTGCGAGTGGATGGACGACCTTGAAACCATCTCTCGGTACGGCCGTGGGGCGAGGCAAATGCTCATCACTCTGGTGGCGAGTTCTGCTGTCCTGGCGAGCGCTGGTGGTTGGTGTCAATCTCCATGTCTCCACCATTGGGGGGGCCCAGTTAGTAGTCGCTGGTTGTTGCCCCTTTTCCGCTCGCTCTGGCTAGAGATAGGTTGTTCGGGTTATTACCTTACCATTATGGAGCCCACCCCCCCCCCCCCCCCCCCCCCCAGCGACTTTCCTTGGTAGGAAACGCCATCTACTCTCTTTATGACCCTTTGCCTATTTTTTATCTTCTCGTCTTCACCCCCTAATTTGATACTTCTGGTTCGACAAATGGGCAATTACTATCTGCTGATTGAGAACTCCTCTAGACTACTTCTGGATCAAATCCCGATTGTGTCCGATAAGAACTTAGAAGGGGGGAGGGGGAAACCAAAAGAAATGTTAATGGAGGGGAGGGACACATCAACACCGACTTGCGACAATCACTGTTGATCAAAATTAACGCCGGCTGGTTTGGTGCAGGATGCATTACGCAAGCAGCCCGCTAGGCCAAGCACTGTCTTACCCGCGTTCAGCGGCCACTTGCTCATAGCGCCGCCGCAAAGGTCCCTTGCGGGTGGGGAATGCGGCGATCTGAAGGCTGAGGGGCCTGACGCCATCACCATGGTTCAATGGCGTTTAGAGCAAATGGTACGACGGAGCCGTCCTTAGGTTGCCCGTTCCCTCAGGGACTCTTTCCCAGACCCACGAGGGTCCGGATAGTTCTGTTGTATGGAGTCCCGTGCCGACGTGTACCATCCTTCGGGTTCTGGTCGACAATATGGATTGTTCGTGTTCTCGGTCTGGCCATGGTTACTGTATGGTTCAATCAATAGCACACAGATGTCCATGCAAAGTTCTGACCAGGATTCGCTGCTTGCGCGTCCGTCAGAAATAAGGGCATTGACAGGAGGGCCAAATTACGAAAGCCTCAGGGGGCGAAAATTGAAGCTTTTGTTAGTGTGTATTTGGTCCCTTAGTCCCTGAGTGGGTGACAACTCCATCTGCTTGCATCTCAAATCCCAGACAGGTTAAGCTGATAACCGTTGTGTGCGCTTCTGGAAAAAGATCCTCTCTGTCTTTCCATTTCAAGAAGGACAACAAGTGGAGCCGTTCGACTGTTGCCCGGCTCATGTGTTCCCTACTTATCTACCCTGAAATTGACAGACCGTCAAATAGGGGACGATCCATGCTGCCGATGCTCGCCATCGGCGTCCTCCTGGACCAGTTAGGTCAGGTCCGCGCCGTTGCGGAGTACTAGATACGCAGTAGGTAGTACCTTGCGCAGGATGCAATCGACTGCCACTGGTCGTAGGGAGTGCCTGGTTGGCCGCTCAGAAGGGATGTGCGTACACAATGGATACACAGCTCATTTCTTATGACTTGCCTGCAGCTTTTGATGAAGGTGATCGGGCTATCAGTTGCACGGGATTGTTATACATACTGCCCACGGTTTTCCGTTAGTGGTATATGTCTTTCCCGTGAGCTTGGACCTAGCCCCCTCTTCTGAGTGTGAAGTTTCGTATATTTCCGAGGGTCCAGAAGATGAGATACCAGACGGCAGCAGTGATCTATTGAACGGAATTCATGATGCTCTCGTGGGGTACACAAGATCCATCGCTGAACTGCATTACCGTTCTTGGTAAACGGCAACCGTCGCTCCGCCAGCGGATGGAGCTTTACGGAGAAAAGCAGATGCTAGGACTCCGTAGGCCGTAGAAGCTAGAGACCCTTAAAACCAAGAATGAGCAACGCGCATGCATTCCACTAGACGATAGCCCCTGGCAGGCCGGTGCCTGCCGAGAAAACTCCATGGATCCCGTATCACAGTGCTTGCAGGTGGATGAGCTTTGACGCCGGACTTGGGGGAGCTGGTGACGATGCTGCATTCAGATATAACGATAAGCAGTGCGACAACAAGGGCCAATCGTACGATCGGAATCAGCGGAATATTCATTATTGCGGTAGTAGGCGTCTGGCTGGACGCAGTCGGATACTATTCTTGAACATTTTGATGCGTTCATGGGGCTAGAAATGGCTGTTTGCCTGCTGGGCTACGGAACGATTGCCTAGCTATGATCCAACGAAAAAGCAGCAAAAGCGCAGATGGCGCAAGGAAAGGTGTATCAATGGTCGGCAACCCGGAATATTTTTTTGGTTTATTTTATTTTCAATGATATTTTTATCTTCGTGTACTTTTTTTTTCACTTCTTTTAAAATTACCCAGAACGAATGAATGGTGATTGCATGAATCGATCAGCCCCGACCCATGCGTCCTCCAGACCTTTAAGATGAGGGATGATTTGGATTGATTGGGGTTGGAAATTAGCTTTGTCCCCTTTGCCCCTTTTCCAAGGCTCCGCGACTGGGGCTTCGGCGACACGTATTGCTATTAATTATTAGTCGACTTTTTTTGGGGAAATCCGATAATCCGATTGCTTGATCTATTAGGGCCTAAACTTGAAACCGATTCCAAGCGCCCCCCACCGCTTGCTTGTCACGTTTCGCTTTCCCGACCGACCGCAGGACGGATACACCTATACCTTCCCGCCCATTTCCCTCCCCTTCTTGCTCCCTCCATCACCAACCTCTCTTCTCTCTCTCTTCCTCCCCTCTCATCTCTCTCCTTATAACTCTGCTGTCCCTGCAGCTTCCCAAGGCTCGTTTTCTATGCTCAGCCTCGCCCGCAGGACTTTGAACCGTGTCCCCAGCTTTCAGGATATTCTACAAGGCAGGATGACCCACCCCGATATGTAAGGAGACCTTTCCCCCTCCCTCCAACGGCAAGCTTGCCTTCACTACAACAAGAAGCTCATTGAAACAATTGCTGACCGTTGTCTTTGTGCTTGAATTCAGCTCCGTCGACGTTCTCGTCATTGGTGCCGGCCCTACTGGTCTCGGTGCCGCGAAGCGTCTTAACCAGATTGTACGCATTGCGCGCCCCCTATCGTATACCTTCACTCGAACAAAGGCTAATTGGACAATTCGCGGGTGTAGGATGGCCCCTCTTGGTTGATCGTTGACAGCAACGAGACCCCTGGTGGTCTTGCTTCCACCGATGTGACCCCCGAAGGCTTCGTATGTTGATTCCCTCTTGCCCCTCAATGGGCAGGCATCGCACTGGTCAAGCAAACAGCGACTGACTCGTGACAATCACAGCTCTTCGATGTTGGTGGTCACGTCATCTTCTCCCACTACAAGTACTTCGACGACTGCATCAACGAGGCTCTCCCCAAGGATGACGACTGGTACACCCACCAGCGTATCTCCTACGTCCGCTGCCAGGGCCAATGGGTTCCCTACCCCTTCCAGAACAACATCTCCATGCTTCCCAAGCATGAGCAGGTCCGCTGTATCGATGGCCTGATCGACGCTGCCCTCGAGGCTCGTGTCGCCAACACCAAGCCCCAGAACTTCGATGAGTGGATTGTTCGCCAGATGGGTGTCGGTATCGCCGACCTCTTCATGAGACCCTACAACTTCAAGGTTTGGGCTGTGCCTACAACCAAGGTAAGATACGATGGACCACATGGCAAGTAACGGTGTGCTGATTCTCATTAGATGCAATGTGCCTGGTTGGGTGAGCGTGTCGCTGCCCCTAACGTCAAGGCCGTGACGACCAACGTTATCCTTAACAAGACCGCTGGTAACTGGGGTCCTAACGCTACTTTCCGTTTCCCCGCCCGTGGAGGTACCGGTGGTATCTGGATCGCTGTCGCCGACACTATCCCCAAGGAGAAGACTCGCTTCGGTGAGAAGGGCAAGGTTGTCAAGGTCAATGCCAACAACAAGACTGTCACCCTGGGTGATGGCACCACTGTCGGCTACAAGAAGCTCGTCTCCACCATGGCTGTCGACTTCCTCGCTGAGCAGATCGGCGACCAGGAGCTCGTTGGCCTCACCAAGCAGCTCTTCTACTCCTCCACCCACGTCATTGGTGTCGGTATCCGTGGTACCCGCCCCGAGAGAATCGGTGACAAGTGCTGGGTAAGTTGACCTTTGATGTAAACCATGAATGACTTCAAAACTAACATGATCGTTACTAGCTCTACTTCCCCGAGGACAACTGCCCCTTCTACCGTGCCACCATCTTCTCCAACTACTCTCCCCACAACCAGCCCGAGGGCTCCAAGAAGCTTCCCACTCTGCAGCTTGCGGATGGCTCCAAGCCCCAGAGCACTGAGGCTCAGGAGGGTCCTTACTGGTCCATCATGTTGGAGGTTTCCGAGTCTTCGATGAAGCCTGTCAACTACGAGACTCTCCTGGCTGATTGCATTCAGGGTCTCGTCAACACCGAGATGCTGAAGCCCACCGATGAGATTGTCTCCACCTACCACCGCCGCTTCGACCACGGCTACCCCACCCCCTCCCTGGAGCGTGAGGGTGCTCTTACCCAGATCCTGCCCAGACTCCAGGAGAAGGACATCTGGACCCGTGGTCGCTTCGGTAGCTGGCGCTACGAGGTCGGTAACCAGGACCACTCTTTCATGCTCGGTGTTGAGGCTGTTGACAACATTGTCAACGGCGCTGTCGAGCTGACCCTTAACTACCCTGATTTCGTCAACGGTAGACAGAACACCGAGCGTCGGCTGGTTGACGGCGCCCAGGTTTTCGCCAAGAGCCAGGCGCAGTAAAGGGTTGAAATGTTAATAGAATTACACGGGTTTTAATTTTTTTCTTGAATGATTCCAGGGGGCAAAAGATTTGTTTAGAGATCTGATTACGATCAACGGGAGCCATATTTCGTCATTTTTTTTTTTTTCACTTCTTGTCCTATCTATTTAACTTATTTTACCAATTTTCTTTTTGCTCTTTGGCTCATTGAAAGCGATGTATGGGAGATGTTCTTGGCATTTTTGTGATGCGTATCATCATCCACTTTTCCAGCCGTCTTTTGCTCCATCTACTAGACATGAATAGAAGTTGCTTATCAAACGTGTGTCTTTTTGTTGGGAAGTTAATTTGCTGATTTACGTATGCCGGTTACATGTCTCGCCGCGACCCCGTGGAGATCAAATCCAGCTTCATGACAGATGACACTTGTATCACCCACCGAAGTGAGGCAGTGTGTGCAGCACATCAGCCCATGCAGGGCGTTTCTATTTTCGCTCACTTCTGTCCCGATCAAGTATAATAATGTGATATATATAGAAGCATCGCAACAACTGAGTATGGAGTATGGAGAACGGAGTAGTACTATGGAATACATCAAACCCACACATATGGAGTCTTCTACTACAACTCCGTACTTATGTACACCAATCACCAAGAGAATAACTAATACTACTGCAGTGGTCCAATCGGTACTCCGTGTAAGACATACGTAGTGAAAAATGGGATCTACCGTTAGCTATTAATCAATATCTAACTTACTATCTATCTATCCTACCGTGTGATACTCCATATTTTCCTCACTACTGAACCCACATCCCCCCTCCCATCCACAACCCACCCACCCGCCGTCTCATAAGGCTGAGTGAGCTCGAGCTCGGAGGGTGTGGATGAAGAAGAGCACTGACTAACTATGTCGGAAATTTTCTTTACTCATTGTTTTACTACTGTATATCTAGGTACGCTACTTACTGCTAGTAATCACGCAAGTATCCCATAAGTAGTTGAGCATGTGCTCATTGATCAGTACTGGCGGTGATACCATTGTCATCAGTACTAGTAGTATCACAATATTTATATATGATCATGATGCTGCAGGTATACTTAGTACATACATACATACATTCACATATACATATGCCCCCAACCCGGGACCATCATGTGAATACTACTACTACTACTACTACTAGAGACTAACACGCATAAATAAGAGATAGTTATATACCTTGATAATTTCAAACACCACCTACTGTACCTACCTACTAAGTCACTACATCCAGTTGCTACTACTAGTCTTCCCCCGGAACATCCATTACCCGCCACCACCACTTCTCACCCATGCCAAGAAGTGGGAACCCAGCCCACCCACCCCAAACACCTAAAGCGGTATAGCGCACTGGGGCAGGACGCGTAAGTGGAACTAAACCCAAGAAAGGAAAAATACGATAATTAGGAGAGTCGTGCAGAAAAATATGTACCCACTATTTATCCAGCATCCACAGGCAGAGGAAAATTAATTCCCAATGTAAAAATAGATTTTAATTATTAGTAGTAGTCTAGCCTAGGTAGGACAGGTGGTCAGAACTATCTTACTCGATTATTTTTGCCCCTCATGGATGGGCGATGACGATTGAATGGAATATGATGGCGATGAGGGTGGTCTGTTTCATGGATAGTATTGGTACTTTGGTTTTTTAGTTGAATTAGGACGATGCTGGTATTGAGATGATACTGGGTAATAATGGTGAGGTCTGGGTGTGTTTTTTGCAGTAATGATAGTATCATTGAGGAAGATATACATGGTTACATAACACAAGTTCGCAGCTTTGGATTCCATCCGCTTCAGCCTTATTGTCGGTCGATTTTGCTTTCTTATCCGAGCTCCACAGTCTACACCGTCATTCTTCTACACTACACCATCATTACTGAATTTTCTGCAGCTTGCGTGTCGACTGGGCTCATTGGGATGGATGACGAATAGCCTCACGAGATCTCACCCTTCATTGGGTCCGGACACCAACTCCGCCCCCATGCTTTACGTCCCATCCACGCAACAGATTGAGGCAAAATGGCTGAGCCCTGCATGGCGTATGAGAATCTTGAATACACCTCCGACCATATGACACCTCATAGGGATGGAATATCAAGCAAGTCGATTCTAGCATTAGAAGCTCACTTTTCCCCGGTACGGGCCAAATTCTCCGGTGCAGCAAGGAAGCCGACGTATCATCACTCAATCAATCCCGTCCCCTCACAGCAGTTCCCATGACTCTCTTTGTCTGTCCTTGACTAGGCGTGATATCAACTGTTGTCGGTGCTTTTTGTTTTTCAGCTGTCTCCCCACCGCGGATGACTTGCTTCTATCCACCCTGCTGTCATCCCAACCGTTCCCTCTCCACACAACACGCCATCATCAACAGTTACCCTGCGAGCTTAATTGCTGGGTTAAACCTAGAATTGTTGGGCCATAGTCCTTGACATCAACTTCAACTTTCTCATTTAACTCATCCGTCATGAAGGTGACGTAGCTATCGAACTCCATGGCCTCCTTCAGGTACGGGTTGACCGACGCTCGGGTCTGTCTAGGTGTTAGCGATGGCCAGCGCAACAGGGCTACGTGAGTGCATACGTACATCCATGCATGGTTCGGAGCCGTGGTCATGTGGAGCTGCCATGCTTCCTCTACCACCGGGTACCGGTGGATTTGCCGATGCCATAGAAGCAATTAAATTGATTCTATTGGTGTTCTGACTCTTCTGAAAACGCATATTTCGAAGTAGCCCTGAAATGGCAGGCGCCTCCCGCACCATGTGTTCTTGCGGAGGATTGTGTTCATGGCCATGGTTTTGGACTCCCTGAGGATGACGGAAGAGCATCAGACCTTCAACTGTCTATCTAACCCTCGAAAGATCGGCACCTACCTCTGCTGGAGCAGCTAGCGAGGATTTCACAGCCTGATGTGTTACCGTTCCCCCATGGTCTTGCTCAGGTAATAATGACACCTGCTCAGTCTCAGTCTGCGTACCATGCGAGACTATATTCCTAGGAGCCTTGCTCTCTGTTAGCTGAGTCTATCTTATCCACTCTCAGGTATGCTGGGCCTACTCTTCGAATGGGGTTGGACCGATGTGCCCCAGTGGACCTTGGCCTCGCACTATTCTGCACTCTAGTGGGAAGTGCTACTGGAGCTTTTGTAAACTCTGCACCCGATCTTTCACCAGGGCCATTGTGATGGACGGCAGCAGACCCCGGCAACGAGAGGCTGGCCCGCTGGCCGCGTGTCTTCCTGGTCGAAATATCTGCAACGGGCATCTTGATCACCTCCAGCGCCGCCTTTGGTCTGGAAGAGGGCCGTGCAAGAAAGTCAACTAATTGTGTTTGTTGCGCAGCTAGATTAACACATGTGGATCCTGAGCGGATCTCGAGATCAAGGCTCGGACGGAGATCCGAATCTTGCACTTTAAATCTCGACCACGTCTGTCTCAGGTTCTCTGAAAAATAGCCAAGTTAACGCTTGGTAGCTGTGAGGCCCGAGAATGGTATTTGAAGCTCACCTACTTCATTCGAGGTGTCTTTGAAATTCAGCGAGCCACCCGCCAACCGAGTGCTGCAGGAAAGAGTTTCTCGATTCAGTTCCCTGGTACCAAGGAGAAGCGGGTGAGAAATTGAGTGACGATGTGGTACAATCGAGCACCTTCCACCATTCTTCGAGAAAACACTAGCGGGGATATTGATCGATGGTACGGTTGCTATAGTGGGAGGTTGGCAGGTCAGTGAATGAGGATGCAGCCTTTCAAGGCCCCGCTTTCCCGGTGATTGACCGGAGAGTTGACTGCTGTCAATAGTCTTCAATGAGAGCTGATGCGTAGTCTCTGTCACATGGTGCTCTTCACCTGTTCGAGAGGACTTTCCGGACAGGGGCCCACAGAGTCCTGATGAGCAGGTGCTTATGGTCCGCGTCTCATCTTGCGCCACCACAGACAATGAGTCATCTGGTTCACTGAACAAGGAGGATAATCTTGATAGGCCAACTTCACAGTCTTGATTCGACTGCCAGGAACCTTGACTAGGAGATTCGGGGCCCGAGCTGCAGACGGAACCGCCCGGAGAGAGGTTGTAGGGCGAAAAGAAATCCGAACCCAAGAAGGCTACACTATCATCACTATAGCTGTCACGGTCGAGTTCTTGCCGATGCCACTCGGCCATGCGAGAATGGCGAATAAGCAGGCCTTCCAGATGGTAGCGAAGATCCTCATCGCCCAGAGCAATGCGTGTAGGCTTGTATCGAATCATGGTAGTGATGTAAGATATTTTAGGGCGATGGCAGATGAGAGATGGACACAGAAAAATAACTGCGGTTAGAGCGACAGGAACAACTATGTGCCTCTGTAAGTTTATTTATCTTTCTCTTTTATAAAGTGTGCAGAGGTGGGCAGAAAGTGTGCAGCTATTCGTGATGGGGACGGGGGAATCATCTGGCTAGACTACGAGGTTACAAGACGCATTCAGGAAAGAGCATCCGGATGGCAAGTGCGATGGAGAGATACGACTTCTATCAAGCCAGCTGAAATGGTTTTTCTATATATATTATCGTAGGTGAGTCGTGTTTCCAGAGTGATGGTAGAATGGACTAGCATCAGTAGGTGGTGGTGGTGGTGGTGGTGGTGGAGAGTGATATTATTAATAGTTGAATCTGTTCTATAATAGGCACCAAGATGGGGACTGAGAAAGAGACGGTGTAGTAGTATAGAAGATGGAGCAGGAGATGGTAGCGAACCACGGTACTGTCTCTTCGGTCTCGAACGGATCAGTGGATAGCAACATCAAAGAGGCTGAGCAGAGTTACGATCTCGCAAGTGAAACAGAAGGATATAAATACTCCAGGTAGATATTGTAGAAGATAAAGTATTGATGCACTTACTTAGTCGGAATGTGAGTAAGAGAAACATATGGGAAAATGGGGCTCACAGGGCCTATGAGATCTACATATCCAGGGCATCCGATTGAGCTGTGCAGACTGCAGAGAAATGAGAGAGGATCCATCGGCCAGGCTGCATTATTCAAAATGCCCATTGGGATGTTGATTATTACTTTTTTTTTTTTTTTTTTTTTTTCGTATGACACGATTCTTATTTTTGTAAAGTAAGAGAGAGACAAGGCCATGGCAGGTTTAAAAATAAGATACAGGAGTAGAACAAGATGATGATGATGATGATTGTTGTTTAAATGTAGGCAGAAATTCTCCCTCTTCGAACTACTCTTTCCTTCCCGTATGTAACTCTCTACTACTACTACCACCACCACTTGACTATTACTATTACTACCAAGTAAACTACTACTGCTACTACTACTGCTACTTACTACTACATCGATCCCCTTTATCCCCTTTCCCCCATCAATCGTATTATTCTTCTCCCATTTTCGACTCTCTCTCTCTCTCTCTCTCCCTTTCTCCTTCTACCCCCCTGCTATTTTTCCTATTATTTCAGTTCACAACTGTCAGTTCTATTTACATCCTCCTAAGTGTCCCATAATTCATTGTGTTTGGGGGTCCAGCCAGAGTTGTTTCACATCCCCAATGCATCATCCGCTACTCCTCCGACCGCCGCCATAGTCCCCCCGTCCGGCTCTCCCCCTCTCCAACCAACCAACCAACCAACTAACTCTCTCTCTCTCTCTCTCTCTCTCTTCCTCGCTCTCTCTCTCGACTCCATCCCATCCCATCCCATCGGGGAAGCTCCTTTTCCTTCCCAGCTTCCCCTCTCCTCTTCTTTTTCTTCCTTCCCCCGCTCGTTTCTTTTTTTACGTTCGTTCGTTCGTTCTTCCTTTTCTCTCTCC